CCCGGCCCGCCAACACTGGCAGCAGCTCTGCCAGGTACTGAGCACCGCGGGCTGGGAGACCCCTGAACCCCCGGGCATGCGCAGGGGATGCAAGCAGGGCAGGATCAGGGCTCTCACACGGTGGCTTTCCAGTCATTCTGGATGCTGTTTGCGCGTGCCCGCCAGAGCCACATGGTCTTCAGAACCTCCTTTCCGTCCTTGTCCACGAAGCATTGGCCCGTGAAGACGCTGATGGTGTCTGCAGGTACAGGGTGGGAGGTGGAGGAGAGCATGGCCGAGGTGTCAGAGCAGTGCTGAGCTGTGGCCCTGCAGCCTGCCCCAGTGCAGGGGACAATAGACCCAGGCTGTCCCTGCCCTCTGGGGACAGCAGTGATAGGGAAAGCAGGCAGGAGGCGTCAGAGGGCTGGGGGTCTCCTGTGGAGCTTCAGCCCCCAGCGCCCAGCACATCGTCTGCACCCTGGGTCTGGGAGGTGGCACCAGCCAAGGAGGTGCAGGGTGAAGGATGTCGGAGAGCATCAGGGATACCACAGGGGAAGGTAGGGGCTCATCAAGGACATCAGTGGGAGGGCACGGAAGTATCAGGGAATGACATGGGAAGCAGTGGGCTATTGGGGACCTCACAGGGAGGAATTGGGAGCATTAGGGAGGGCACGGGAGCTCTGTGGACACAAGGTGGAGGGCAAAGGAACTCTGGAGAGGCTAGAGGCAGGGTAGAGGAACTCAGGGGACATCTCAATGGAGGGCAAGGGAGCTGTGCGGACACTGCAGGGATGACAGGAGAGCATGGGGGCCATGAAAGAGAAAGCAAGAGACCATTGGGGACAAGAAGGGGAGGGCAGGGGAGTTCTGGGGACACCACAGGGAAGCTGGGAAAGGAGAAGCACCTGTATTCTTCCAATGGACGGTGAAGCCGAAGGTGGGCTGGCACATCTCCTCGACGATGTGCTGAGACCCCAGCAGCGGTGACGGCGGGACATCGGTCATGTTGCCACTCACAGCTGTTTTGTATGTGCCTCTGAAGTCAAGGGAAGCTGGGAAAGGAGAAGCACCTGTATTCTTCCAATGGACGGTGAAGCCGAAGGTGGGCTGGCACATCTCCTCGACGATGTGCTGAGACCCCAGCAGCGGTGACGGCGGGACATCGGTCATGTTGCCACTCACAGCTGTTTTGTATGTGCCTCTGAAGTCACCGTTTTCATTCACAGCCCCGATGGTCATGTGGGAGCCCAGGTCATTTGTCCAGTCCCCAGTCAGCACGCACTGGAGCGGTGGGGACTAGCGGGCACCCCCAAGAGACGCAGCCCCCCTGCCCACCCTGCCCCATGCATCCCAGCCCTGACCTCACCTTGCTTGCAGACAGGCTGGGAGCCACCAGCGCCAGGTTGAGCACCAGCAGGAAGGGAGTCCCTTGCACCATCGCTGCAGCGGGCAGACAGCTGGCGTACCCGGGCTGTGCTCCTCGCAGGGCTCTGCCGGTGCGCCCGCTCTCTCGCCTTTTTGTTGCTGCCAGGGCTGCGGGTGGCAGCTCTGGCCAGGACGTTGTGCAATCTGGGGGTTTGCAAATTTGCCATTCCGAGCCACACAAGAGGGGGGTGTCAGGCAGATATTCCCACAAGCAACCACTGAAACCATCCGTCCTTGCTCCCTCTTGCCTGGCACCTGGTGGGGAGGCCCTGGCTCCTGCAGGCCAGTGACTGCCAGGAAGGATGATCAGCCGGGCAAATCCCCCCTCGGGGGCTGTTGTCCCTTCTGCCATGTGCCACCTCACTGCAAATGTGACACCCACCTACAAGAAGGGCCAGAAGGAGGATCTGGGGTCCTGCAGGCTTGTTGGTTTGACCTCTGTGCCAGGGAAGATTCTGGAGCAGATCATCTTGAGTGCCATCACACAGGATGTACAGGACAATCTGGCGATCAGACCTAGTCAGTGTGGGATTATGAAAGGCAGGTCCTGCTTGACTAACCTGATCTTCTTCTTTGACCAGGTGACCAAGCAGGGCATGAGGGAAAAGCTGTGGATGTTGTTCATGTGGAGTTTGGTAAAGCCTTTGTCAGCATTTTCCACATCATTCTCTTGGAGAAACTGGCTGCTTGTGGCTTGTGCAGGTGTACTCTTTGCTAGGTAAAAAAACTTGCTGGATGGCCGGGCCCAAAGAGTGATGGCGAATGGAGTTAAATCCAACGGCAGCCAGTCACAAGTGGTGGTCTCCAGGGCTCAGTACTGGGGCCAGTTGTGTTTAATATCTTTCTCAATGATCTGGACAAGGGGTCTAGTGCGCCCCCAGTAAATTTACAAATGACACCAAGCTGGGCAGGAGTCTTGATCTGCTTGAGGGTAGGAAGGCTCTGCAGAGGGATCTGGACAGGCTGAATCAATGGGCCAAGGGCAACTGTATGAGGTTCAGCAAGGCCAAGTGCCGAGTCCTGCCCTTGGGTCACAACAACCCCTTGCAACACTACAGGTTTGGGGAAGAGTGGCTGGCAAGCTGCCTGGTGGAAAAGGACTGGGGATGTTGGTTGACAGCCCACTGAACACACAGCAGTGTGCCTGGGTGGCCAAGAAGGCTGACGGCATCCTGCCGTGTATCGGGGATAGTGTGGCCAGCAGGAGTAGGGCAGTGATCACCCCCTGTACTCGGCACCCGTGAGGCCGCATCTCTGGATGTGAACATCCAACCAATCCCTTCTCCACCAAAGAGTCCACCCATCAAATCCATTGCTTTTCCTCACGACCACCTGAGGAATCTGAACATACAGCATTCTACGGGACTTGACGAGTTGCATCCCAGAGTGCTGAGGGAACTGGCTGATGTCATTGCCAAGCCACACTCCATAACATTTGAAAAGTCATGGCAGTCAGGTGAAGTCACCGGAGACTGGGAAAAGGGAAACATTACACCCATGTTTCAAAAGGGTAGGAACGAGGACCCTGGGAACTAGCAACCTGTCAGCCTCCCCTCTGTGCTTGGGAAGACTGTGGAACAGATCCTCCTAGCAGCTCTGCTACGGCACTTGGAGGACAGGGAGGTGATAGGAGACAGCCAGCTTGACTTCACCAAGGGCAAGTCCTGCCTGCCCAACCTCGTGGCCTTCTATGATGGAGTGACTCTGGCAGTGGGGAAGGGAAGAGCTATGGATGTCGTCTATCTGGACTTCTGTAAGGCCCTTGATGCAGTCCCTCACAACATCCTTCTCTCTAAACTGAAGAGATACAGAATTGATGCATGGATGATTGAGCAGAGAAGGCATTGGCTGGACAGTCACGCCCAGAGAGTAGCGGTCAATGGCTCAATGTCCATGTGGAGGTCAGTGAAGAGTGGTGTCCCTCAGGGGTCCGTACTGGGACCACTGCTGTTTAATAACTTCATCAACAACAAAGACAGTGGATCAAGTGCACCCTCAGCAAACTTGCAGATGACACCAAGCTGAGTAGTGCGGTCGACATGCCTGAGGAATGGGATGCCATCCAGAGGGCCCTGGACAACTCGAGAAGTGGGCCCGTGTGAAGCTCATGAGATATCCAGGGCTGCATCAAAACTAGCATGGCCAGCAGTTTGAGGGAGGAGATTCTGTCACTCTATTCTGCTCTGGTGAGAGCCCACCCAAAGTCCTGCATCCAGCTCTGGAGCCCTGGGCACAGGAAAGACATGGAGCTGTTGGAGTGCGTCCAAAAGAGGACCACACAAATGATCTGAGGGCTGGTGTACCTCTGCTATAAGGAAAGGCTGAGAAAGTTGGGGCTGTTCAGCCTGCAGAAGAACGGGCTCTGGGAACGCCTTAGTGTTGCCTTTCTATACTTACAGAGGGCTTCCAAGAAAGATAGGGGCAGACATTTTAACAGAGTTTGCAGAAACAGCTCAAGAGGCCATGGTATTAAACTAGAGGGCGTTAGATTTAGACTAGATGAAAGGAAGAAATTGCGCTTCTGGAGCACGTTCAAAGAAGGGCAACAAAGCTGGTGAAGGGTCTAGAGAACGAGTCCTGTGAGGAGCAGCTGAGGGAAGGGGAGATGTTGAAAGTGGAGAAAAGGAGTCTTAGGGGGGAGTTCATTGCTCTGTACAGCTACCTGAAAGGAGATTGTAATGAGGATGGTGTTGGTCTCTTCTGCCTGGTAACACGTGATACAAAGAGAGGAAACAGCCTCGAGTTGTGCCAGGAGAGGTTTAGACTGGGTGTCAGCAAAGCTTTCATCACCAAAAGGGTTGACAAACATTGCAACAAGGCTTTCCAGGGAAGCGGTGGAGTCACCATCCCTGGAGGTATTTAAAAGATGTATAGGCATGGTGCTTTGGGACATGGTTTGGTGCTGGGCTTGGCAGTGTTAGGTTAATGGTTATACTCAATGATCTTCAGGGTCTTTTCCAACCTAAGTGTTTCTGTTCTATGAAAATGCTCCTTTCCTTAAAATGGAGACAAGGCAACTCTTTGCAACATCTCAGAAATCCTTCCCAAATTCTGCATTCCCTTTAATCTCAGATTTGAGTCCTGGTTTCTCTCCAGCAGTAAAAATTGTCACAACCGAAGTGGGGAGCACTGCATTTTGTCTGCTGGCATCTCAAGGCCCCCCTCTCCTGTCTGCAGGAGCCCCAGAGCCCTCTCGCACCTCTTGCTACAGGATGTCCTGGGCCAGCGAGATGGCTGCTCGTGGGACATTGCTGCCCTGTTGTTTGCTTCCCTCTGTCTTAGAAAGGAACTGCATGACAAGGTATGTTTTGGCAGGCAGGCACTACCTGGAGCAGGGCCAAGGTTTATGAGAATGAGCACTGTCCTTCTGGGAAGGCTGCAAGAGTAGGAGGGACAGCCTTCACCCCCTTGCCATCACTCCTTCTCCATCACCACATTGCCACCACCATCTTGCCATCCCCTTGGTTCAGAGAGTTGCTGTGGGGACCCAGCATCCACCAGTGGGCACGGGGATGGGCAACACAAGGTCTCCATGCTGGCACCGCTGCTGATTGCAACCCACAGCCCGTCTACAGCCGCAGCTTGATTTTAACATCACACAAAGGGGACTGGTGCTGCCCGCTCCTAACCTTCATTTTTCCTGTGGTTAACAATCCCCAGCCCAGCAGCGAATCTTGCAGGTGCAGGGATCAGCTCAGTGCTCCAGGGGGTGGGTTTGTTGAGCAGTCTCAGCCAAGTCAAAAAGAAAACAAGCCAAGAGCTGGGTTATCTCCTTGGGATCTGCAGACTCCAACGGGCAGCCAGCAAAGTGTCTTGGGTTGGCAGTCTCTACCATGGTTTAATCCTGTGATACCAAGCCTGAGCAGCTGCATCAGGACATCACCATGCCTGGTGACTGCCAACACAAGACAAAGGGAGGTGGGGAGCCCAGGTGATCTGTGACGCTGTCCTGGTACCCCCATCCCCCTCCAGCCTCGCCACGCTGGCCCCGAGGCAGAGCATCTCAGTCCTCCCCATCGACTGCGGGCTCTGCCATGGGAGGGCAACATCGGCTGGTGGGAGGGGGCCACATCTGGGACAACCTGCCCTTCCTGGGTGGCACCGTTCCTCTGCCCAGATGGACGAAGGAATGCTTCTCTGGGGAGAGAAGAAAAGGCCATTTATCAGCCGCTGGCAGTACCGAGCCACCGCGGCCATGGCCTGGCTG